AAATAGTTTCTAAGGCTAACTAGTGAGTTCAGCAAATTCAAAGCAAAGAAAGAAGTCTAAAAAGATCACCAATCAGGCTGCTTTCAAATTTCTTGTTTTTGAGGGGGATGATACTGGAGTTTGAATTCAGGGCTTCATCCTAACTAGGTAGGCACACTGCCACTTGAGCAACTCTGCCAGCTTTTTTTCTTTCCTTTTTTTTTTTCCTGGTGGAGCTAGAATTTGAACGAAGGGCCTCACATTAGGGCGCTCTGCCACTTGAGCCACCACAAGGATGCCTGACTTTGTCAATCCTGTTGGATTTGTTGAAACTCTTTAGCAAGAATTCCATGAATTTCCTTTTAGTTTTGGCTTCTTACTGGAAGGCTTCCCAAACATTGTCCCCTCTTCTCTCAGTATATCTGCTTGTTCCACTGGAGAAGGACACAGGTAATTCTTAGGTCAATGTTTATTGCCTGGGTTGGGCTCCTTGGTCAGGACACAGGGCAGCCAGACATCCTCAAATGCTGAAGCTGGAGTGTGGAATTTTTCTTTGTTCTAATACCTAAGACTTTAAATCTTCATGTCTCTTGCTTGAGATTAAGTTATGAGACATAACACTCACACTACCCCATCCCTCAAGTACACCAGGGCAGGCAGAGTAGATGGTTGCTTGTCTGTGACTAAAATTCTTATTCACACCAAAAGCCTCTTCTATTAGAGCTGGACTTCAGAGTAAATCTTAGCTCCATCATTTCAATAGTAAGAATTAGCTCATAAATGTGTCACTGCTTTAAGATACCTGGCATCTGGCCAGGTGCCAATGGCTCATGCCTGTAATCCTACCTACTCAGGAGGATGGGAGTTCGAAGCCAGTCCAGGCAAATAGTTCACAAGATCCTATATTTAAAAAAAAAAACTCATCACAAAAAAGGGCTGGTGGAGTGGCTCAAGGTGTAGGCCCTGAGTTCAAACGCCAGTACCGCAAAAAAAAAAAACAAAGGACTGGCATAGCTATTCCATAAAGAATATTAACTAACAATTAACAAACATTAATTTTGTTGTACTCAGAATCTTTTCACTTACAACATCTCCTTTAGACAGCACAAATATTGTTAATCTCTTTTAACGGTGCATGATTAACAATAAAAAGCTAACTCAACTCTTACTATATATACTTACTGCTTGTTAGGCATTGTTCTAAACACTATTTTGAGGCTGGCCTCAAACTCATGAGCCTCCTGCCTCAGCCTTTTGAGGGCTGGGATAACAGACATTCACCACTACTCACATCTAATCTATGAAGTGTAGGTATTAACAGTCCCATTTCACAGATGAGTAAAATTAAGGCTTCCCTAAAGAGCTAGCAAGCACAAGAGTTGGGCTTCCAACCAGATTGTATGGCTCCAAAAGCAGTGTTCTTCACTAAGCACCCTTTAAATACCTCCATTTCCTTAGTTCTTAAGTAGTGGACTTGAACTCACACCTGTCCAAGTGTAAAGCTGCATACCCAGGTGCAATGCATTATGTCCTTTAAACAAAGGATCACTGAAGTGTAGACAGCACTGGGTTATCACACCTGCTGGCCTTGGAGAGAGAACCCAAAAGGAAGGGGACAGTGTTAACTACCCTAGAGGGCAGTGCACACAGTATGACCAAACTTCTGGCCCAGACAGGACACACAGTGAGAGCAAGGATGGCCTGGGAGCCCTGGTAAGAATAGGAAAGGGCTTCCTTCTTCATTTTATACTGGAAAGTTGGGTCTGGAGTAGAAAGCAGAAACGCCAATAGCCCCCTGCACTTTTCCGGGTCATGGTCCTTGGCATTTTCTGTTTTGTATTACAGCTATCAGTGAGTGTTTCTGCTCTCCACTTACTTTTAGGTGTACCACATGGAACACATGATAAGCAACTTAGTAAGTGTGATGAGTTGGATGACTAATGAATCTAAAGGAATGTACGTGCTTGAGCTTCAAAAGGATTTGGAGTTTGCTCTTCTTTTTTTTTATTTTGTAACACTACAATGAGCTAATTCCCACCCCCCCCCCCACCCCCGTGCTGGGGACCAAACTCAGGCAAGCGCTCTTCCACTGAGCTAAATCCCCAACCCTTAATCCCTTTTTTTTGAAACTTTTTTTTTTCTGATAGCACAATTATTCTAATGAAGATAGGGGAAGGTAACTGTTCTCTTAAGGAAATTCTTAACATTCTACCTACAGCTCTTGAACTTATAACCACAAATAGGGGCTGGGGGCATGGCTCAAGTGGTAGAGTGCCTGCCTAGCAAGCACAAGGCCCCAAGTTCAAACCTGGTGCCACCAAAAAAAAAAAAATTGAATTAGTGTTGGGTATTCCTGTAATTCCAGCACTTGAGAAGCTGGGGCAGTAGGGATGTTGAGTTTGAGACAAGCCTGGGCTACAAAGTGAGACCTGCCTTAAAAAAAAAATTGTAATTTACTAATAGAATTCCACCAATACCTATTAAAATGTTGAGTAATGCATAAAACTGTCAAGCCATGGTGGACTTTTTTTCTTTATTCTGGTAGGACTGGAGTTTAAACTCACGCATACAAAGTAGAAGCTCTACTGCTTGAGCAAAGCCTGTTTATTTTGCTCTGGTTATTTTGGAGATGAGATCCCACGGTTTGCCTGGGCTGGCCCAGAACCTTGATCTTCCGGATCTCAGCCTCCCAAGTAGCTAGGATTACAGGCGTGAGCCACCAGCACCTGGCTGCAATGGTGGATTTTAATGGCTCTGTGTAAATGAGCGAATGGGTACCATGTTCCCATTGGAACATTTGTTAGCAGTATTGAATTGCATTTCTACCTTTTCATCATCCCTGGAGAAGAATCATAAATGGACCTGGTAATAAATTTAATCTGAAGTTTTGAAGATGAGTTTCACCACTTTTAACATTTCATCCATTGTGTTGGAAAGGGAAATCTTTGTCTCTCCCTTAGTTCTGCCCCCACGGTTAATGCAAATTGAACAACAGATTAATAGGAGAAAAGACACATTTTTAATTAATATTTACATGCAAGGAATGCACAGAAGGAAGTGAAACTTTTTTTTTGTCATCTGATAATTTTTTTGGCTTTCTTTTTATTTATTTATTTTTAAATTATTCATATGTGCATACAATTCTTGGGTTATTTCTCCCCCTTCAAAGGAAGTGAAACTTAATGAAGTAGCTAGATTTGGGGGTTTATATACTTTTTAACAAAGAAAATAGTGTTTAGTTTCAAGAAATGATAGTGTGGAGAAGTGGCTGGGGAATAAATAGGGAACTAATGGAAGATAACGACCATTTTAGTAAGGTCTGTGCAACACATCCTCGTGTCAGCACTAATGATGCTAAGTGATAAGTGTAGGTCTCCCCTCCCTGGTTTCGGTGACAGGTGTCACCTGACCTTTTTTTTTATTGTTTTATTATTCATATGTGCATACAATGCTTGAGTCATTTCTCCCCCCTGCCCCCACCCCCTCCCTTAACACCCGTCCCCTCCCCCCCTCAATACCCAGCAGAAACTATTTATCCCTTATTTCTAATTTTGTTGTAGAGAGAGTATAAGCAATAATAGGAAGGAACAAGGGTTTTGCTGGTTGAGATAAGGATAGCTATACAGGAAGTTGACTCACATTAATTTCCTGTGGGTGTGTGTTACCTTCAAAGTTAATTCTTTTTGATCTAACCTTTTCTCTAGTTCCTGGTCCCCTTTTCCTATTGGCCTCAGTTGCTTTTAAGGTATCTGCTTTAGTTTCTCTGTGTTAAGGGCAACAAATGCTAGCTAGTTTTTTAGGTGTCTTACCTATCCTCACCCCTTCCTTGTGTGCTCTCGCTTTTATCATGTGCTCAAAGTCCAGTCCCCTTGTTGTGTTTGCCCTTGATCTAATGTCTGCATATGAGGGTCATACGAATTTTGGTCTTTTGGGCCAGGCTAACCTCACTCAGAATGATGTTCTCCAATTCCATCCATTTACCAGCGAATGATAACATTTCGTTCTTCTTCATGGCTGCATAAAATTCCATTGTGTATAGATACCACATTTTCTTAATCCATTCGTCAGTGGTGGGGCATCTTGGCTGTTTGCATAACTTGGCTTCACCTGACCTTTCTCAAAGAGAAATTTATGCCCAGATTTTAGGCAGATGAAAGGAGGTCAGACAACTCTTTCTGCATCTGACTTTCAGTGCTTTCATTCCAAACTAATCCTCATATTGAAGAGCATATTATGGGATAGCATGTTCTGACCTCAAATACAAAGCAAAGAATAACCATATGCAAATCAGCTCCAGGACTGTCTGGATTGCTATCTCCCCTGCCTTACTGATGAAGAAACAGTGGCTTCTTATTAAAGAAAACTTTTCTTATAATATTTCGTGGCCTGACACATGTACTTTTTAAGTTATAGAAAGCAATATAAAACTATAAAGTGCATTTACAAGAAAGGTAAGGAAGAGAAGTCACTCGTATCCCTACTATTCTGTTAAAAACTGTTTTTATGTATTTTCTTTCAATGTTATTAGTGCTTGTTTATTTTGTAGCCATTCGGTGATAGGGGCACATGATGTAGAAGATAACTTCTTCAACTTAACATCACATTACTCTCCAGGTTCTTGCTTAATCTCAGTCCTCCTTAACAACTGCAGAGTTTGCCTAGCCATTCTCCAGTGTTAGAAATCTGAGTTGCTTCCAGGTTCTCAGACATCTTGATGTTACCCCCAGCACCTCCAACCCTGGGAAGGGAGCATTAGAGTTGCACCTCCCAGCATCCAAGAGCAGCCTCCGGAGTTCAAAGGTCAAACCTCAGGCCCAAATTGCAGCCAGACTCAGGAGGGCTTCTGCCTCCCTTCCTGTCCTCTTTCTGACCCCCAGGCTTGGTGAGCCTCCCATTCAGGTGCCCCAGTCCCACTCCCTTAGGGCAGAGGCCACAGCTCCATCTGCTTCCCCAGGTCCTCCTTGCACCCTCTGCCCCGCCCAGGTGTGAATCTCTCCCAGCGATCTTTCTTTCTGTCCTAGCAATCCGCAGACCCACCGTGTGCACAAGGAAGGAGCTAAACCGCGCACCATAGGCACACTTCAGGCGTCATGGTCCACCTGCTGACCTCGGAAGTCCAGCAGCTGCTGCACAACAAGTTTGTGATCATCCTGGGGGACTCTGTGCAGAGGGCCGTGTACAAGGACCTGGTGCTTCTGCTGCAGAAGGACTGCCTGCTCTCTCTCCGCCAGCTCAAGACCAAGGGGGAACTGACCTTCGAACAGGACAAACTGGTGGCAGGAGGCACGTTCGGTATCATGCACAATGGCATCGACTATCGCGAGGTCCGCGAGTTCTGCTCGGGCCACCATTTGGTTCGCTTCTACTTCATCACGCGGGTGTACTCCGACTACCTGGAGGGCATCCTGCAGGAGCTGCAGTCGGGCGAGCACGCCCCGGACGTGATCGTCATGAACTCCTGCCTCTGGGACATCTCCAGGTATGGTCCGGACTTCTGGTCGAGCTACCTGCAGAACCTAGAGAGCCTGTTTGGGCGCTTGGACCAAGTGCTGCCCAAGTCTTGCCTCCTGGTATGGAACACAGCCATGCCTGTGAGCGAAAAGCCTCGCCGGGGCTCCAACCAGCCCAAGGGCCAACCCCGGGCCAAACCTGCCGACGTGTTCAAAGCCAACTTCTACAGCTGGGAGGAGGCTAGGAAGCACCACTTTGATGTGTTAGACTTGAATTTCCACTTTCGGCACTTCAAGAAGTACCTGCAGGATGATGGGGTGCACTGGAATGAATATGCACACCGCAAAGTCTCCCACCTGTTGCTGGCCCATGTGGCTGATGCCTGGGGTGTGGAGCTGCCCAGACGCCAGTGCGCACCTGTTGGCAATTTGATCAACTATGACCCAGAGTGCAAACAGACTGGCCAGGTAGTAAAGAGGCAGCCCCATGGCGATCAAGATCTACTGGCTTTCCCTGTGCCCCTGCCACTGCCTCCTCCCAGGCCCAGAGCCCTGCTCCCGTTACCACCCCCATTACCACCACCCTTGCCCTTGCCGCTGCTCCCGACCCCACAGCCGCTGCCCATCCCCCTACACCAGGTGAGACCCCCGTTTCCACTCTATCACCATGATTCCAATTTTCCCTCTAACCGTGTTTTCCACTCCGATCAATTTGCCTTCCAAACTGACTTTGCATTTGGTTCCCAGCCATCGATCCCCAGCTTCCCGTCACCCTGTTATCAGCAGGGGGCCCCGGTAGTGCACAGAGGTTTTCCCCGCTATCTTGTTGAAGGTCCCTATATGCCCTGGAGAGGGAGGCCCAAGAGACCAAAGAGAAGAGTCCCAGCTCATCCACAGTCAAGGCCTCAGTAGACGACCTTGACCTTTTGCCTCTTGGTGGTGGTGGATTGGCGGAATCTCCCGTTCAGTCGACACTGTACCATACTGGCCTTGCTAACTTAAGCCCTTTCAGCTCAAGCTTGGCGTTTTAGTTCATTGCTGTTACTGTCACGAGCTCTTCTTGTTACCTATGCTCTCTTTCCCCTTCGCAGTGACCAGGCATTGTTCCTGCCTCCCCACTCCCTATCCTCTTTGCCTTTTTGTAAAAATAAAATTGAATTACAGAAATCACTTTGCAGATGTGGTGGTGCGGTTTGTGGGTCTGTATTTAACGGGTGCCTTCCCTTTGCAGTTAAACAATTAGCTCTGTTAGAGCAAGGACAGCGTCTGCAGAATGAATCATTATGACATTGAGCTGGTAAATTTTCAAAGTAGTTTGCTTTTAAACTCTTTTGGCTGGGTGCAGTGGTGCACACTTGTAAGTTGCAGCACTCAGGAGACGGAAAAAAGAGGATTGAGAGTTTGAAATCAGACTGGGATACATAATGAAACCATTTATCAAAAAATAACAACCGATGGGAACTGGTTGCTCATGCCTGTAATCCTAGCTACTGAGGAGGTAGAAATCAGGAGAATCAAAGTTCTAAGCCAGCCTAGGCAGATAGTTCACGAGACTATCTCAAAAAAACCCTTCACACAAAAGGGCTGGTGGAGTGTCTCAAGATGTAGATCCTGAGTTCAAACCCCAGTACCGCAAAAAAAAAAATAATGATAGAATAACAACAGCAATAATAATGAAAAACAGAGTAAAATAAAGTAATAAATTCTAAGAGGTCCCATAAATGGATCTGATTGCTTACAATGAAGCAAGAGAAATTTAATCTTTTGTGATTCTCTTTGCCCAGAGATTCTCGAAGAAACATTGAATTTTTGGTGCTAGGAAAACTAAAGACATAAAACTTAAATATTTACAAACAAGATGAGTTCAAGGAAACCAAAACCATTCCTCCACCAGTCTTTTCGTTTATACTTGCTTCTGGTTTGCATAAACTTTCAAACCTCAGGACTGACTGACATACCCAGCAGTGTCAAAACAAGAAGGGAAGTCCATCATGCATCATCTTGCTACAGGAGGGATGGCAGCCCCTTGCAGCCTCGTAACTAGAAGGCTATTAGACGTGCAATCAATTTTGGCATGCTTGTGTCTTAGTGATTCCTTGGATAGTCCTGTTGTTTGGACTTGAGGAATTAGAGAAAAGCCACGCTTAAAGTCAGTGTGAATCACCATCATGGATTAAAACTACACATTGGAAGGGACTACCCAGTCTACAAATCCCTTGTGTCAATTCGGATGGATGCCCCTGCCCTTGTCTTTTGTTTAAATTGTAGGCCTTTTGTCATGCTGGACTAGTGAAATGTTAGTACTTGCATAAAATTGTTAAAGTAGGATGTGACTAAAATCTTCTGAATAATGGGATTTTTTTTGGGGAGGGGGCAGTACTGGGGAAACTCAGGGCCTTACAATAGCTAGGCAGGTGCTCTACCACTTGAGCCACTCTGCCAGCCTTTTTTTGTGTGTGTTGGGTATTTTCGAGAGAGGGTTTCAAAACTATGTGCCTGGGCTGTCTTTGAACTGAGATCCTCATGTCTGCCTCTTGAGTAGCTAAGATTATAGGTGTGAGTCATCAACACCTGACTGAATAATAGGATTTTTTTATCGGGTGGAGGATTTGACTGGTTTGTAGGTTCCCAATACCATCATCCCTGGATTAACAAAGGTAAGGAAATCTTATCCTGACAAAATGAAGTTCATGAAATCACCAGAAATGGGCGAGACCAGACAGCTTCAGAAGAAATACACAGCAGCTTCTATCCCTCCAAAATAACTAAGATTCCTGGAGAAGAGGCCTTTTATCTTAATGACCTAGGTATCTAAGATCTTAGCAGCATTAGCACTTACTGCCCTGTTTCCTCAGTGCGCCTGCAGAAAGAGGCAGCTTGTAAGTGTGCGGATGAGATCTCTAAAGAGATCTGGAAACTGACGTGTAATCTGAAGCACATCTGGAGGAATGTTGTGGAAAGCGCAATGGTGACCACTGAGGACACTAGAAAGGTGTCCTACAAGTCAAATTTGCCCAAATGTATTGCCTGGCAATGTAAATGCCAGGTTAGGTTGGTAAATACTGGCCCTCAAAATGCGCCAGCTTGGCCTGGGGGGTGTGACTCATTAGTGAAGCACAAGTGTGCCTGAGAAGTTGGGTGCCATAGTTCGTGCCTGTAATCCTAGCTGCCATGGTTCATGCCTATAATCCTAGCTACTTGGGAGGCTAAGAACAGGAGGTTTGAGGTTTGATGCCACCCTGGGCAAATAGTTGGCAAGTCCCCATCTCCAAAATAACCAGAGCAAAATGGACTGGAGGTGTGGCTCAAGCAGTAGAGCACCTGCTTTGTAAGCATGAAGCCCAGAGTTCAAACCCCAGTCACACCAAAAAAAAAAAAAAAGCCAGTTGCTTTTATTCTGACTTTACATTCCCCAAGAAAAGTTTAGTTGCTGATTTGAGTAATTTGACACATTTAATATTTGTATTTCCAGGAATAAACCAAGAAATTGGTGTTCTGGTTGATCTCTTATCACATAAATGTGATTAGTAAACGCTAATCCTCCTTAATCTGACTGTGCCAGATGAACCAAGGACAATGCATTCTTAGATATACAGTGCTAACAGGGCATGGTGGTACACACCTGTAATCCTAGCATGCTTGAAAGTTAAGTAGAATTGAGTTTAAGGCTGTATAGTTAGTCCCTGTCTCCAAAATAATAATAATAATAATACATGAGTCCATGATGTATTTTTGGACTAAATTGCATTAGGCATTCAACAGCAGTTCTGTTTCTCAGATGGGTGGGAATGCAAGTAGATTTGGTCAGAGATAATCTTTGCCTTCACAAGTGTGTTAATTCCCAGTGGCTGCTGTAACACATACCACAGACTGGGTGACTTAAATCAGCACACAGTGATTCTCACAGTTAGGGAGGTTAGACGTCTGAAATCCACTACTCCAAAGTGAAACCCTTACTCCACTCTCCTACATGATCAAGTTTCTGCTTGCCCTTGCAATGCTATGTTCTGGAACTTTGCTCATTGCTCTTATGATTTTAACCACATGGGACTTTTTCCTGTCTCTATGACATGCCAAGATCTTGTTGGGTCTTTGTGCTTGCTATTCTCTTTGCATGGGATGCCCTCCACCTCCTACCTCCTAGTTCTTGGAATATGTAACTCTCCATCTTTCCTTACCTTTAAAGTCACATCCTAACCGTGACCATTCAACCTAAATTACCATTGTGGTCTATCACAACACTTTCTTTTCTTTATGCTGCTTTCCCTACTCAGCAATGTCTTTAGTAGTTGCTTGTTAGCCTTCCCTCTGGAATGAAAGCTCACGAGTCTTGTTCACTGTTGAGTTCCCAGTACTCACAAATGCAATGGCTGACAAGCAGGCCAGAGGTAAACGTGTGAGAAATGTAACTAATCCACGTTGTATGCTCAATTAAGAATGCAATTGTACTAAAACTGAGCAGCTTTTGATTACTTTTCTTCGAAATATGTCTACAATTTTCTTACAGTTTTACCTAAGCTTTCCTAGGTGGCCTCTCCTTCTCCCTGGGCCCAAACCTGGCAGCCATTGCTGGTAACAGCCAGTGAATTTAATTTTATACATATCCTGGCCTTTATCTTTCACCTGACTTTCTTCTTTGCCCATTTTGCTATTGTCACCTTGCTCCTTAAATCAGGAAACCTACCAATGCAATCAAGCCATTGTCTGATAAAAAGAGCCAAAATCACTCAGCATTTACAAAGAAAATTATTTCTCTATTGTTATGACTTCCAATGCAGAGTTCATTTGGCCTGTTTTTCAGCCTCAAGAAATGACAGCACTCAGAGTTTTTCATACTTCACTCTTGTCTCATTTTCTGGGAAAAAGGAAAAGGGAAAGTGAAATTAATGATTAATTTGATATTATCCAAGCAAGGTATGCTTCTCACAAGATTGTACAGTAATGTGTTATACTGAAGACCAAAACTTTAAAGCTGTAACTCTGCTTTTCCACGAGTACAAAGAAAGCAAGGATCAGCATTTGGAAACAACCAGAAGGGTACATCCTGCCATGGGAGTACTGTCACCCCTTCCAGCAGTCACCACCATGTTCTCGGGGCCAGCAGGCAACATTCACAGTGAGAACTGAGCTTGTGCAAAGTGGCAGCTGCATGACCAGGAACTCTGCAAAAGTAAGCCATTGTTCTGAAACAAGGCATTAAGACTGTGAGAACCTGGTGTGGAAGTATTTGCCTGTAGCTCCAGCTACACAGGAGGCTGAGGCAGGAGGACCACTTCAAGACCAGCCTGGGCAACATAGCGAGAGCCTATCTCAAAAAAATAAATGAAAGGAAAAAAAAAAGACTCGTGTCAGAGGAAGGATTTACCATTTATTGTGCATTTGTTTCTATAAACTCTATAAACAACATTCTCGTTCTTATAGCTGCAAAAAAGTTTTCGGTTACAGCATCCTTCATTTATATATAGTTTTGTTTGTTTGTTCATTTGTTTGTTTGCGGTACTGGGGTTTGAACTCAGGGCCTACATCATGAACCACTCTACCAGTCCTTTTCGTAAAGGGTTTTTTTCCAGGTAGGGTCTCTGGAACTATTTGCCTAGGCTGGCTTTGAACCACCATCCTCCTGATCCCTGCCTCCTGAGTAGCTAGAATTACAGGCGTGAGCCATCAGCACCTAGCCATTTCTAGATAGGTTTTTCCTAAGGCTTTGTCTTGTTAACTTTGAAGAACCTGTTCCTGAAACGTGTCTCTTTGAACATAATCTTTTCTGCATGTGTATCTTATAGACAAGGATATTTGTAAAATGATTCATTCTGTAATTTCCCCATGTGAAAATTCACAATGCCTTTTAATGAATTAGAAGCTCTGAGAAGTTCTTTGTGAAATAAACTTGATTAAATGCATTCAAAGTAGTATTTCCTAGATTAATTTAACCACAAAACCATTTTCATTTGTAGCATCTTTTAAAAGACATATTTTGGGGAACTCTGTTCTAGAAAATGCCAGAACAAAGAGTGAAGGTAAGTGAAGAAGGGAAAAAAAGATTTTATGAGTGACATTCTCTATAAGGAGCACTTTTTAACATAGCATGATAATCATCTGTGTCCAGTTATGAACTCATTTGT